CGGATATAGCCAGGGTCAGACACTCCGCCTGGGAAGCACTTCAGTCACAGCGCCAGATCCATCAAAGGAAGACCGAGGGGAAAACAGAACCTTCCGCTGCAGGGAACTCCCAGGAGCGAGACGGGCCTCCGAGAGCTAGGGAAGGGACACGAGGGACTTGCCAGAAAGTTCTCACGTCCTTTCTCCTCTCTCCCATCGTATCTATTCTTCCCTTGTTTAATGTCCAATATTAGTTTATCAGGCTTCATTGCTCAGTCCTGCTCTCCTTGCCCTATCCCACTTATTTCTTGATACTTATTTTTTTTTTCTCTTTTCCTCTGTTGAAGGACACAGACTGGCCCGGTTTGCAGGGTCTCTGTGTCCCATCCTCCTGGAAGGCAGGGCTATTCTACGTTCTCAGATTACGCCCTGTACCTCTCTCTCTCTGTTCATGATGCCTCTAGTTAAAACTTTCTCATGGCCCCCATTTCCATCCCTGCAGTTCCTCTTCTGTTTACATTCCACTCCTCTGCTTTCTGTCACCACAGTATTGATCCCTATGCTTGTTCTGCTGGTTTCCTTTCCACTCAGACACACAGTGACTTAGCACACGCCGTATTGTAGGGTCCCTTTAATCTCTAGTGATAGCATGAAGGAGTGGTTCATTGTTTTAGTCAACTATTACTCTATCTTCATAGTTAAGTGTGCTCACAGGTAGTGGCTATTGCTGTACAACCCGCTCGAGGCTATCCTAAAATACATGAGATCCTTTCTCAAAACACACAAATAAGCACAGTGTGGTGCGCCCTTTAATCCCAGCACTCGGGGCAGAAGCAGGCAAACCTCTGTGAGTTCAAGGCCAGCCTGGTCTATAATGAGTTCCAGAATAGCCAGGGCTATGTAGAGAGACTCTGTCTTAAACACATACACACACACACACACACACACACACACACACACACACAAACTAATAAACAAATAAAAAGACCTCAGATGATTTTCATGTCTTTCTAGCGTCTCCCTTGTCAGCAAGTCTGAGAAACATACCCTACAACTGTCCCAGTTGCTAGAGAGAGCATGCCCTCTAGTGGTTCCACAGTGACACATAGCCAAATTTCACATCAAGCGTTGCCATGCTGTTTCTTTTACTGACATAGCATAGTATCAGAACATACCAAAAAAGAAAACAAACAAAAAAAAAAATCTAAAAAGCAAACGGAAAAATATCGGTAGTAGGTCTTTTTAACACCACTTCTGAAAATGTGATGTTGTTATTAATGAAACAAAACATGAGCTCACGACGGACAGTCGCTTTACTTCTGGTTCAAATGCAAGCAACACAAGCACACTAGACATTTTTAGGAATATATGCTGTCCTCACACCTTGTACCTTTCAAAAAGAAACTAGGAAGGAAAGGAAAAGGAAAGGGAATAAAGGAGGAAGGGAAGGGAGGAGAGAGGGACCACAAGCCTACATCCATCCCAGGCTTTAAGAACCAACAAGTAACGGGACATGGTGGCACAAGCCTTTAATCCCAGGCTTTAATCCTCAAACTCTATGAACTTGAGGTCATTTTGGTCTACATCGTGTGTTACAGGTCAGCCAGGGTCATTTAGAGACACCCTATTTCAAATGAATAAACAAACAAACAGAAACAACAATGTCAATAAGCTTCACTCTCTAGTGATCTCAGGGCTGGCAGCAGGGCTCGGTGGGTAAGAGAACTGGCTGCACATCATGAAGATCTGAGTTTAGATTATTAGCATCCACAGAGAAAAGCCACGTGCTCATCTATAACCCTGGCATGAAGAAAAGGAGACGGAAGGATGGATGAGACCACTGCCCATCAGTCTCACTGAAAGAGAGCAAGCTCCGTGTTCACTGACAGACCTTGAGTGTGGTAGAGCAGGGCAAATATTGCTCTGGCCTCTATGCTCTTATCCGCATACACGCATGTATCAGGCTCCCTGACCTTAGCACAACTGACGCCATGATGGAAGTACCACTCAGGCCTTGGAACCGAGCATATAGGCAGCACTAGTTGCCAAAACAAAAACAAAGCCCTAATCCATCAAAGTCCATAGTTCTGGGAAAGTCTCTGAATGTCCTAACCTTGCTTTTTGTCTTCTGTAGCTCTGCTTCTGGCTAGCTGTTCTCATTAACTGAAGTAAGTCAACCTAAGATGTATGTTGTGGTAGTTTTGGTTTAATGTAAACATGTTTTGTTTTAATCCCAGGCGTGGAATATGAGACTTATTCAGATTGTCCGCAGCAGCAATTTACCTCATGTGGTCTCTGAGAGGGGCTCTTTGCCAGCTGCAGATTAAGTCTGAGGACTCTGAGAGGGATTAAAAGCCAGATCCCAGAGGGAAAAAGGGGGACGCCAAGGAAGAAGGAGGCTGCTGGTGCTTCCCCGCTGCTGCTCCTGGTTGCTGTTGACGCAGTGTGACAAGAAGTTGGAGATACCCTGAAACAAGGATTGGACTTGCTCCAAGGAACCCAACGACCCTAAACAGCAGAAAGTAGCTAAGGAAAACTAACCTTCTTTCTCTCCTACCTGGTGTTGGGGTGTTAGAAGGGATTGGGGAGAAGGGAGAAAGAGGCATAAGAAACAGTTTTTAAAAGAATGCCAACAGATGCGGTTTCATCCAGAACAGCCAGTATAGTGGCCCAAGGCTAACAGACTTTCTATTGGCTTAAACCCATGTCTGAGTGAATAGTCTTCTCTAATGGATACCCCACAACACACGGAGGCATAGGTCACACTCCAAAAAGAATACCTACTGAACTGTAAAAGCAGCTGGAGAGATGGCTCAGCAGTTAAGTGTGCTCACTGCTTTCACAGAGGAAAATAGACACACACACAGAATAGTAATAGTAATTCACATCGTTACAAAGAATATCCAGTATATAAACTTCAAGGTAGGTAATCTGAGATATTTACCCAGAAGACAGACTGCTTCTACCTATACAAGTCATATAGTATTTATTTAAGATTCATTTAATTTTATGTGTATGTGGATATATGTGTATGTATGCGCCCCCTGTATGCAGGTGCCTGCAGAGGTCAGATGAGGGCACTGGACACCCTGAGCTGGACTCATGGATGGCTGTGAGCCGTCTGACGGGGGTGCTGGGAATCTCCAGCACGATTCAGGTCCTCTGTGTGAGCAGCAAATGCTCTTAACCTCTGAGCCGCCTCTCTCTCCAGCCTGTTTTTAATTCACTGAAGAACTGCATGTCATCAGTAACGGTTGGGCATTTACTTTCTCGCCAATATGGAAGGTGTGCCCTTCCTGCACTCTTCGCCGATTTGTGTTTACTGTGTTTGTCTGCACATGCGTGTGGACATGTGCATGCCACAACACAAGTGTGGGGCTCAGAGAACAATCTCCTTCCAGCAATTCCAGGGATTGAACTCAATAGACGGGCTTGGTGGCAAGCACCTTTCCCACTGAGCCATCTTGCCAAGATGACAAGAGTTGCTTTTTTTCTTTTACAGTGTCTCTGTGTGTGCACACCCGTGAGCACGCATGAGTGTGTGTGTGCGTGTATGTGTCCATGGCACACATGTGGTCAGAAGACAACTTACGGGAGTTAATTCTCTCCTACATTGCTGATTCTGAGGATCCAACTCAGGTTTATCAGGCTCGATGGCAAACACCTACCTGCTGAGCTATCTCACTGGCTTTCTTTTTGACTTTTTGAAACTAATCAGGATTTATTTTCATACAACAACAACAAAAAACTTCTCCTTTTCACAGTGCCTTAAGTGTGGAAGACACTTGAAACAGGTACATTAAACACAAGGTTAAGTGGTGAGGTGATTCCAGCGTTTATACTCCAGTTCTTACAACTCCACGCTGCTCAGCTAGGATGGAAGCAGGAGGCTGTCAGGAGGGCTAGCTAACACTAGCATAGCAGGAACTGACACCCTTGAGAGGACCTCACTATCTCCGGGAAAAACGTGGGCCTGAAGTTCGGTAGCTGAGGCGGGAGACTCACGTGTGGTCTGCCGGTGCATGGTGTGCTGTTCTCACGAGGGCCTCACACTTCGTGCCAACTCATCACTGAGGTACAAGTGGGTATTTGGAAGCATTTCAAAACCACATACCACAGGTCCTTGGCCCATTTTCAAAGCAGATTTTTTTTTTTTTTTTTTTTTGCTTGAGTGGTAAGAATTCCTTAGACTGTTCAATGCCCCTTATTAGTAATTTGCAATATTTTCAGCTATGTTGCCTTTTCTCAAGTGTTTCTAACAGTATACATAAACTTTCCATATTTGCTTCTGTTTGTTTCATTGTGGGTTTTTTTTTTTTTTGGGGGGGGGGGGGGGGCTAGGCAAGTTCTGTAGACAGAGACGGCCTTCGATTCTCTACGTAGCCAAGAGCTAGAGCTTCTGGTCCTCCTGCTTCCACTTGCTGGGACCACAGGCATGTACTACCATGCCCAGTGTTATGTGGTAATGGGGGCTGAACCCAGGCCCTGCGCATGCTTGGAAGCACCTATCAACTGAGCTACTTCTGTCTGTACTTTTGATGTCATATCCAAAGTGTCATTAACACAATGATCATCAAGGCCCTTATCTGTGTATCTGAGTATCTCTAGTTTAGTGGTCCTGGTTATTAAGTATTGCAGGGGTTTGAATGATAAATGTCTACCATAATCCCATTTCTTTTTTTAAGATTGACTTATTTATACATGAGTACTCTACTTGCATGCATGCCTGCATGACAGAAGGGGGCATCAGATCCCATTATACACAGTTGTGAGCCACCATGTGGTTGCTACAGTTGAACTCAGGACCTCTGGAAGAGCAGCCAGTGCTCTTACCGCTGAGCCATCCCTCCAAGCACATGTGCCCTTTTATGACTTGCTGGCCCTTTTGTCCAGGGCCAGTTAAACTTAAAAGACAAACAGTGCTAGGAAAGAATTTAAGCAATAAAGCACTTGCCTACCCTGCACAAAGCTTACCATTGGTAGGTAGGGGGAGATAGGACATAAACTAAAAGAAGAACCAATACCTTTTTCACATCTTTAATTACCATTATTGCACCAATACAGCATATGCTTTATATACATATATCTTCAACTTCATTTTCAATTTTCAGCAATTCAAATACATAATATATTATCATCTGAACAATACAAAGAACACAAAATGGAGGAAGCTTGAGAAAATAGGTTTCCCAATAGTCACTAGTGATCCTACACTTTCCTCTTAGTGTTTTTATTGGAACCATAAATGTCCTGCCATGGCTCTGCAAGAAGAGAGCTGCCTGGAAAGAGGAGGTAATGGGGAAAATGGACCCAAAATTAGAAAAGTTAAGAATACGAGAAAATATATTTGAAATTAAATATAAGGACCCTCTTCAGCCAGAACATACATCTCCAAACAGATGTTCACAGAAGACTAAATCCTCCTATTCCACCCTCAACTTGCCCAACAAACAAAGGAGAGGACCCACTGACCTGATGGGACTCTCTTCACAGCACTGTAAAAGGAATGAAGGGCAGAGGGACGGGAAAGTGATGGGGCAGTAACTTGCTTTAAGATATCCTAGCTGGGTATCAAAGCCTGGCGCAAAGCCTGTCACAGGTAAAGCTGTGACTTAACCTCCTTCACACTCACAATTATGTAATAGCAGCTTTCTGTGGAAGAGCTGGATGGGCTGAAAAGAAATGTTTATGAAAAGGAGTCAAAACCAGGCAGCAAGGCATGTGGGTACTGAATGAGAGCTAAGAGCTTGCACCTCTCTGCTCTACACATCAAACTAGAACTCTTATCTGTCGGTCAAACACAGGGTGAGTATGAATTAATGCTATGCTTCAAATGCAATTACATGGAGTTGCAAGAAATTAAGCACTTCTGTAGACTACAACTTGGAGAGCACAACCCCTTGACCCTCCTTCATCTCAGAAATATTCACTGGTCAAAGACGCTGCACTATTCTACAGGAAGAAAACAGTGAGGTGCCACCAACACAGCTGTCTTATCAAGGGAAGAGACGCGTAAACACACAGGAAGGTGACGGGGCTGCACCCAGCCTGGACGCTCACTGACTATGATAGGCCTGAAGGAGGCCTTACAGGACAGACCGGGACCCAGCTTTCCGGAACCTACCCTATGACAACCCTAAATTTGTAAGTACTGGGGCTGGCCTGCCCATTTTTAGTCTTGGGTTAGTGGAGAAGACAGTTACAAGGCATTTGTCTCTCCTAAAATTGCTAAATAGAGCATCACAAAGGGACACACAGGAATCATGAGATGATTCTGAAATAAGTTCAAGAATTTACATATGTTAGAGGTCACTCCCACTCACAAAGTTGGCCTTCTGAGCTCTGCACAGTAGGCCAGTGTGATAATTCCCACTACTTCCCCTGCCTTGGTTATGAGCAAGAAACAGATTGTCTCCTAGCTGTACAGCAAGTAACAGAGGTAACAAAAAAATCCAGCCTGAATGCGACAGAGAAGCTATGGAAAGGATTGTCCACTGATTTTGGTTCTGGGAAATGAAGCGGTCCCTCAATGCCCTCATAGAATGGTGCCCTTGAGGTCATTTTTATTTTTCAAGTGTCCTTAACTTCGTGCAATGCTCCTCAAAACTGGACCCAGTTGGATGGCTGAGGTGCCTGGTTTGGAACAGAGCTGCAACACGGGAAGAGACAGAAAGCAAAGGCATCGCATTAGTGTGAGATTCCAATCATCATTTCTAAGTCTAAGAAACTGCTGTCCACAATCTCTAAAACAACTCTTCACAGGAGCTTCACTTCTGAAGTGCACATAAGCCACGCCCTGCAGCTTTCTTTGCTTCATGGTTTTCCTAGAACTCCAACCGAAACCCCCAAGGCTTCCCTGACTATGCACACACCCTCCACACCAGCGGTTCTCAAGCTGTTGGCCCTGACCTCCTGGGGACCGAGCACGCTTTCACACAGGGGTCACATACCAGATATCCTGCACATCAGAAATTTATATTATAATTCATAACAGCAGCAAAATTACACTTGTGAAGGAGCAACACAATAATTTTATGGCTGGAGGTCACCACAACGTGAGGAACTGTATCACTGCAGCACACAGTAAGGGAGAGGCTGGGTGCAGTCTGCCCATTACCTGGATGCAGTGCTGAAGTCTCCCCACAAGTCATTGCTTGTAGAAACTGGAGCTGGTGCTGGTGCTGAAGTCGTGACAGGAGCAGGAGAATCCAAATCTAAGAGGATATCTAGGGGGTGGGGGGTTAATCATATGTTTACAGGAAAACCCACACCCAAGGTCATAGCAGCTTCACCCTAAACAGTCACTCTAAACTGAAAACAGTTCAGATGCTCTTATTTAGGTGGTAGTTAAAAACACTAAATACAGTAAATACATAAGACTCAGCAATAAAAAGGAGAAAACTGGACATACAGGACAAGTTAGATGTATCTCTAGGGACTCACACTAAGTGAAAAAGCCAGTCCCCCAAATCTACATACTGTATGATCCCCTTACACAACACTCCTAAAGCAACAACTTTATATAAACACAGGGCAGATGAGACGCTGTGTCAGGAATGAGAGACGGCAGGCTCAGAAGGGTATGGTTATAAGAGGGTGATACTTATAGTCTTATAAGTATCTTATAAGTCTTGTAAGTATAGTCTTATAAGTATAGAGTCTTATAGTGAGGCGGAAAGATGGCTCAGTGGTTAAGAGTACATGCTGCTCTTCCAGAGGACCCAAGTTCTGTTCTCAGCCCCGAACTGTGATGGCTTAGAACCATCTCTAACTCACGTTCCAGGGGCTCTGATGCCTTTGGCCCCTGAGAGCACCTGCACTCACATTAAAAATAATAAATCTTAACCAGATGGTGGTGGTGCATAGCTTTAATCCCAGCACTCAGGAGGCAGAGGAGGCAGATCTCTGAGTTTGAGGCCAGCCTGGGTTACAGAGAGAGTTCTAGGATGGCCAGGGGTATACAGAGAAACCTTATTTCAAAAACAAATAATAATACTAATACTAGTAATAAATCTTTTAAAATAAAAGATAGACAGTGATACAGACTTGTTCTGCAGCCTGACCATCACAGTGGATTCATGAACATAAGGAAGGCGAAACTGCATAAAACTAAAGCCACCTGCCTATGCATACATGCACACAGGAGAAACTTGAATAAGATTAGAAGATAAGGGAACAGTCAACAAAGTTTTGTAAAATGTTATTAGTGAGAGATACTGAACGATGAGGATATAAGATTTCTTTTCCTTTTTTTTTTTTTTTTTTAATTAGAGACCAAGTCCCCAGTGGCTCAGGCAGGATGACACTCAACTGCTTCTCCTGCCACTACCTCCAAAGCGCTAGCTTTGAGGTGTGGACCACCACACCTGGTGCCTTTCGTGATTTCTTACAGCTGTGTATGAATCTCTAATCCTCAAAATAAAGTTTAATTAAAAATTAATCTTCAGCTGTACGCTCACAAGTTTTTTCAAGTCATTTCACTTATAGTCACTCCTTTGATGAAATATATTTTTGATTGTGAGCCAAGCCTTTAACAGCTGAGCCATCTCTCCAGCTCATCCACTGATGAAATATAACTAAGCTGACCGCAGCACTTGGGAGGCAGAGGCAGGTGGATCTCTTGAGTTCGAGGCCAGCCTGGTCTACAGAGGGAGTTCAGGACAGCCAAGGCTACACAGAAAAAAACCCGTCTCAAAAAACCAAAATAGAAATAAGAAAAAAATGATAATTGGATTACTACTTCATTCAATAAAATGTACAACTTGTAAGAAGAAAAAAACATTTTTTAATCTTAAATAGGGTCCGTGGTACCTTCTGGTGACATGAAGCAAAATGAGAAAGCTGCAAAATTTCTACCTCCAAATATATATATATATATATTATACATATTATCTTCAATACGTTAAATTTAAAACTCCTGGATTCTGATGAAAAAAGGAAACGAAGTAGTGAGATCAGAGGACTCAGGTAGGGGGCAGTGTAGTAGTGAGGGAACAGAATGAACCAAAACAAAACGCATATGCAGGAAAAATGCCAGAATGAAATCCACTCCCACACTAACTTCAAAAATTATAAAACAAGAAGACAGCATGGTGCCACACACCTGAAATCTCTGTACTCAGAAGGTAAGGGAAGAGGCAAGAGAATCAGGAGTTCAAAGCTATCCTCAGCTACATAACAAGTTTAAGGGCAGCCTAGGTTGCAGGAGACATTATCTCAAATGGTGGGGGAAAGGGAGGCTGGAGAGACGGCTCCTCTTCCCGAGGACCCAGGTTCAGTTCCCAGTGCCCACACAATGGCTCAAACCATCTACTTTTCCAAGGCCCTCTTTCCAATCGAATGCCCTCTTCTGGCTCCAAGGGCACTGCACACACATGGAGCACAGACAGACATTCAGACAAAAAACCCAAACACACAATAAAGTCTTTCAAAAAAAAAAAAAAATTTAGGGCTGGTGAGACAGCTCAGTCGTTAAAAACACTGACTGCTCTTCCAGAGGTCCTGAATTCAATTCCCAGCAACCATGTGGTGGCTCACAACCACCTATAAAGGGATCTGATGCCCTCTTCAGGCATGCAGGTGTACATACTGATAGAGCACTACATTAAATACATCAAAGAAAAATGTTAAAGTGTTCACTTCAAGCCACACCTTTAATCCCAGCAGAGGCAGGCAGACTGCTGCAAGTCCTAGGCCAGCCTGGTCTACAGTGTGAATTCCAAGATAGTCAGAGGGACATAGTGAGACCCTACCTCAAAAAACAACAAGAAGTATTCACTTCAGCAGCACACACACTGAACTGCAACAGTATGGAGACAATTAAGAGGACCCTGCACAAGAATGACACACAAATCTACAAAGTGTTCCATATTCTTAATGAATGAATGAATGAATGAATGAATGAATGAATGAATGATTTAAAGCCTATCAAATTCTAATAGCTGGTTTTCCATACTAAATGTGTGTGTATATATGAATACACACACACACACAGTTTCACTTCTTAGTGAGTTCTCTATTCTCTAGACCAGCCTGGGTTACACAGTATATCCCATCAAAAAAGAAAAAGTCCTCATGGTCTTGTCTTTCAACTACATCTGCTGCGTTTGCTCTAACCAGTAAGGAAAAACACCAACGTTGTTTGTCTGGTCAGTTTTTGTTGGAGTGGGGCTGAAGAGCTACAGCTAGCCTGGAGCTCACTCCGTGGCCACGCAGGCCTCCACCTGGCGATCCTCCAGTTTCTGCCTCCCGAGTGCTGCCCTGTGTGTGCAGGCTCCCAGATGACTGGAGGATCACAATCCTTGAGGGCACCTTCTGACCGAATGCCTATGTGTTCCGGGAATTGTGCTCCATGCTGCACAGCATTAACCTTACCCACCTGGGCTGGTTTTTCACGTCCATTTTGCAAGCAAGCACACTGAGACTGAAAGGCCTTAAGCAAGCCATGTGGCGGCACACACTCGTAATCCCAGCACTCGGGAAACAGAGACAGGTGGACCAGGAGTCAAGGTCATCTTCAGCTACATAGCACGTTCAAGGCCAGCCTGAGCCACATAACACCCTGTCTCAAAAAGTAAAATTAAGTAATTAAAAGTAAATACAGAGCTTTTGTAGAAAACTTAAGTAATGTTTACCAAGTGATTTCAGACATGAGTATTAGAGCCACAGCCAAAACCATTTTATACCTCTGACTTACAAGCCTTCTAGCATCTAATCAACAATTAATTTTCATTAATTAATCAATTAATTCATCTATTTATTTATTTACATTTGGTTTTTCAAGACAAGGTTTCTCTGTGTAGCCCTGGCTGTCCTGGAACTCACTCTGTAGACCTGGCTGGCCTCAAACTTACAGAGGTCCACCTGCTTCTGCCTCCCGGGTGCTGGGATTAGAGGCGCACGCCACTGCCACCTGGCTTATTTTATAATCTTTAATTATGTGTATATGTGTGTCTGTATGTGGGTATGTGAACATGAGTGCCTATGCCCTTGGAGGTCAGAGGCCTCAGATTCCCTGTGAGCTGCCTGACCCACAGGGGTGCTGGGAGCCACACTCAGATCCTCTATAGGAAGAGCACTTCCACTTTAGCCATCCCTCCAGCTCAGTTTTTTAAATAACATGGTTCCTATCAGGGCATCCACTAGAGAGCACTTCCCCAGGAAAACTCTACCCCTTGCCAAAATCACCTTGCCAGTACCAAAAACAACTTCCTGGCAAAAAACCCTTGGTAAACGTCTATTATCTGTTTAAAACACAATTTAAGGTTATTCTCAAAGCTGAGTAGGAGATTTACCTGCATCATTACCTCCGTGGTTAGATTTTGGAATAGGTGGTGGGGTGACGTGATTACTGATGGCAACTGAGGATGGGGGAGGAATAGTGACTTTGCCTCCAGGTGGAGGGGGAAGTAAGCTCAGGCCCCCAGCCCCTGAGGTCCGGGGCTTAGAAGAACCTCCTTTCTTGGTTGTAATGTTCTACGAGAAAAAGAGGGAGAGTGGGGAGGATATCACAGACCTAGAGAATAACAGAAAAATAAAAAAAAAAAAAAAACAAAAAACCTCATACTCAGGCAGCATACACCCTTAATCCCAGTACTCCAGACGAGAAAGTGGACAGATACGTGAATTCAAGGCTAACCTGATCTACACAGCAAGTTCCAGGCCAGCCAGGGCTGTACAGTTATACCCTATTCTCAAAAAAAAATAAAACAGGGGCTGGAGAGATGGCTCAGCAGTAAAGAGCACTGGCGGCAATTTCAGTGGTTACAGGTTTGAATCCCAACACTCCCCACAGTGGCTAAGAGCCATCTGTAACTCCAGTCCAGAGAATTCCACACCCTCTTATGGCCTCCACAACACTACATGCCTGTGGTACAAACATAGATGCAAACAAAACACCATACGAATAAAATAAAACATAAAGAAAAGAAATCACACTTACCCCAATACTCAACTTGATGGTCTGTCCTTCCTTGAAGCCTAAATCCAATTTGGGACGATTATCCATTTCCTGTGATTCTTTAGAAATCTCGGTTTCCTGCTTTACCCATCTTTGGAGAAATAAATTTATCTCAGTTTGGAATTTCCTGAAGCAGAGTCTGACCCAAATCTAGATAGCTCTCATTCAGATGACTGGTATCCCAGAAAGCAGAGTGGGGACCTCATGGGGACCATGAGAGAGAAAATGAAAAAAAATATCCGGGAGAGGCCAACTGGGTTCAAAGCAAGGAGCAACACAGAGCGTGTGGTAGACTTATCCCTCCCAACAGTTCTCAGCCACTCCCCAGAGATGTGTTAGCTACTATGTTCCTGCATGTTCCATCTCCGAGCTTTAGAGTCCTGAAGCAAGAAAGAGCTACGCTGTCCGAGAGGCGCTAGGTGCTGCTCCGCCCAGCTGTGCCAGACTCAGCTGGGCTGAAGAAACATAGGCACAGAACACATCGCTGCAGAAGAGAAGGGCCTGGCGCACAGCTGTCGTGTGCAGGCCGCTGTGTGCAGCCTGCACAATCTTCCTAAAGCAAGGGCAAATTCCCCACGGTGTACACAGGCGCAGGCCATGCGTGAGGCTCTAAAATACACTACAGGCTGCACAGAGAAACGAGAACTGATGCAAGGTGGGGCGTAAAGAACAGGCTACGAGGTAAACAGTGGCGAGAGAAACACCCACTTCGGCAGCACCTGTGATCATCCGCCCTCAAAACCAAGGACAGGCTCCACTCACTTGAAGTGATCTTGCAGGGACACGTTGAAGTCGAAGGCATCTCCCCGATCTGTGAAGCCGATGCCAATAAACGCGCTGCGCCCTGTGAGAAGGAGGGATCTCAGGAAACGTGTCCCCTATGACAAGCTCTCCCTATTGGAGACACACATCACACCACTGTGTAAGATCTGCTTAGTGTCTGCTCACAGACCAGCAGTCAGCAGATGCGTGCAGCCCAGGGGCTGACTCTTCCCCCAGCCTGAGCCTGAAAAAGAACTTCCAATGAAATACAGCCACATCATCAGGAGAGTATCTGTGGCTTCCTTACCCTGCAACCAGCAAACGTGGAGCTGCAGCTATAACTCACTCCACAACACCAAAAATATTGTCTTTGGTTACCAACCTATTAAAAAGTGCAGAGGCCAGGCACAGTGGTACGTGTCTTTAAGCCCAGCAGAGGCAGGCCCATCTCTGAGTTCAAGGCTAGCCTGACATATATTGTAAGCAACTAGGACTACGCAGTAAGACTCTATCTTAAAAAAAAAAAAAAAAAGAAGAGGAAAAAGAAGAAATGGCTGCAAACTGCTGCCCTAAGAATAATTCAAGATAAGCCCATCAAAACCCACCACAATACTTAGGCTCTTTTGTTAAATTTTGATTATTTAACAAACTTAATTGAACTTATACCCATATCTCTAAAATTTAATCATTTCCCTTTAATAACAACATAACAACGATGAAAAAGAGGGAAGAAGCCGTTATCCACAGGGAGAGAAATACAATTTCGGTAGAGGACATTTACAGTTTTCCTAACCGTACCCCACCGAAAGCCCCAGACCCCTTACCGGTGCCATCCTGGATCCTGATGACAAAGTAGCGGCTGGAATCTGTCACCGTCTCCACAGCAATGCCAGGGTACTGCTCTACCGGGGCCTGCGCGAAGAGCTCCCCTGACAGCGAGAAGAGCACCTCTGTGAGCACCAGCAGAAAAGCTCACTCCAGGTACAGCTACTCCCCATGCCAGGCCCCGCCTGAGGGGACTCGCAAAAGCACATCGACCCAGCGCCGCCATGTCTGAGAGGCTCTCTGCACTTACCTGAAACTTTATCCTCCAGTTTGATATAGGCAACCTTCCCTTTTGAAGTGATTCGCAGGCGACCAGTCCAATCAGGTTGATCTAACTTCCAGTCAGATGCCCTACAACAAGAAACGGCAAGCCTGAGGCCTCAGGTATATCCCTTGAGCATTCTTTTTTAGTTTGTTTATTCAAGACAGGGTTTCTCTGTGTAGCCCTGCTATCCGGAAACTCAGGCTGTAGACTAAGCTGGACTCAATCTCAGAGATTCACCTGCCTCTGCCTCCCAATGCACTGGCCATATTTGTTTTCCTGTGCTAGAAAGCCTATTCTTTCTGCCTATTAAATAATCATAAGAAATAAGCAAGCTCTCCTTAAACTGAAGCCTTGTGTTCTCATGTTACATATTGTCTAAGGCAGAAAATAATGACGTTTCCACTGCACTACTTTAGGATCTAGGAAGTACCAATAAAGATATGCAAACATGTACAGATAAAAACTACCAGCCAACTGTGTATACCTTTAATCCCCCGAACTCAGGAGGCAGAGGCAGGTGGGTCTCTATGAGTTCCAGGCCAACCAGGTCAGCCAAGGCTACACAGGAGAAACCCTGTCTCAAAAAACAAAAAAAACAACCAAAACTAAATTTCTTGAGAATTAATGTGTGGTACAGATTTGCCTAGCATACAATCAAAAATAATAAAAATTAAGATGGATTTCATGTAGCATACCTATAATCCCAACACTCAAGAAGCAGAGGCAGCTGGACACAGTGGCGCATGCCTATAATCCCGGCACTCAGGAGGCAGAGGCAGGCGGATCTCTATGAGTTCCAGGCCAGCCTGATCTACAAAGCAAGTCCAGGACAGCCAGAGCTACACAGAGAAAGCCTGTCCAAAAAAAGCATCAGCAGAGGCAGGCAAACATCTGTGGTTCAGGGCAACCCTATTCTACATAGTAAGCCCATCTCAATATATATATATATGATGCTATTCTCCTACCTACTGATGATTTTCCCTAATGCTGCTTCATTACTTAGAGAATAGCAAAGTGCATCTGCCGCTCCGGAAATCATTAACCACATATTATCGTTCATTGGTTCCAATCAGGATTTACAAGGTACTGATGAAGTGGCAGGCATTATTCTAGATGCTTGGGATATAACAGCAAACAAAGCATTCTTCCCCTCAGAAAGCTTACATTCCCACAGAAGGAAATAAGAGTATCAGTATCTTAGGGTATTGTCACAGGAGGAAATGCAGAGGCAGACAGCAAAGTCTAGAACAGTGAGAGACCAGTTACAGGACTTAAGAGCATGACCAGGAAGCTGACGATGAAGCTTAGTGGTCAAGGCTTGTTTAGCGAGGGCTGAGCCCTGGGTTCCATCCCCAAGGCCACCAAAAAAAAAAAAAAAAAAAGGAGGAGTCAGGGTAGGCCTCATCAAGAATGTGAATGTTAGGCAATAATGTAGAGCAAATGGTGGCACAAAGGTTGTGGAGATAAACTGCTTTTAGATTGGATCTGCGGCCTGCTCCATGGGAAAGAATTCAGGCCTGACACTGTAAAACCAGTCTAAAGCCTCCAGTTCAGGACAACTGTTAAAAGAAAGAAAAAAAAATTGAACAGGTGGGGGTTTCCTTCAGAGTACCCGAGGGGAATACTCTAAGCACAGTGCAAAGGTGCTGAGGTAAAAGCATGCTTGCCTGGCATGTTTGAGGATAAGGAAGCTGTTGTTCTTGGAAGAGGCCAACAGGGAGAAGAAAAACAAAGCCAGACATGCAGGACCTTACAGGCCATTAAAAGCATGGCAGCTCTCAGGAAAAATTATCTGTCTAGGTTTTACAGCTATGCTATTTTAGTGAAAACTCAGCTAGGACAGGTCTTAGATGTGTGACCCAGTCTTCCTTGTATCTTACAGCGATTACTTTGCTTTACCATGTCTGTGGGAAAGAGGAGTAGGGATGTGATGGCTGAAAGCAGGGTAGTCAGACACTGCGATGAGTCATGAGAGAGGCTCGGAGAAGTGACAAGCTAGATTCTAGACATACTTAAAGTAAAGGCAGCAGGATTTTCTGATGTATTAGTGCAGGGCAGGAGAAATAGAGATGCCAAGGAGAACGCCAAACTTGTTAGCCTATGCAAACAAGCTGCCAATAACTAAAATAAGGAAGGCAATTGTGGACCCCATCTGGAGAGATGGAGGTTGAATTTTGAATATGCTGACTTTGAGATGTCTAAGGTTTTCAAGAAAGACAAGGAGCTGACAAGTGAGTATATGATAGCAGAGTTCAGGAAAGACACCTGAAATGTAAACACCAGTGTTTACAAACGATCTGAAAACCCAAACATTTGCTATCTGTGTTTATACGACCTTGAATAAATTCTAAGATATCAAGACAACAAGACACTGACTTTAGATATGTTTTGTAAAAGGTGTAGAAAGGGGGGAAATATATTAATAATTTACCTCTTATGAATCTGAAGACTTCAAACTGTGGTTTGCATGCCTAAAATCCCTTAGGAGTCAAAAGCAGGAGACAGGCAGCACTGAGGCCTGCCTGAGCTACAAAGTTATGGCCCTGTCTCAAAAAACAAAAAAATACAAACAAACAAAAAGGAAAAACCAATACTTACAGGCAAGAAAACAAGCTATATCTGAACAGGAGAACAAGATAGTAAGTTAAAAGAAACAAAGTAAAAATTAACGAAAAGACAGGTTTTTTTCCTTTACAGTTTGGGATCAAACCCAGGCCCTTCAGTGTGTTAGGCAGGAAGCTACCACTTAGCCCCAGGCCCTTCAGTGTGTTGGTGAGGAGCCCACCACCTAGCCCCAGGCCCCTGCAGAGCTTCTGCAGGACTGTGAGATGGATGCTTTCATTCCCTTCTCTAGTGATGTCCAACCTTCAAGGACTCTTGGAATACTGGAATCTGATCCAGATTAGAACATCCTACAAGTCCTCATGAACTAACTTTTTCAAATGACATTTGCTTGCTTGCTTATTATTTATTTGGGGGGTAGGGCACACATATGCCATCCGAATATGGAAGTCAGATGACAACTTAGGGGAGTCTGTTCTCTCAAACTATCATCCCAGAAATGAACTCAGGCAGTCAGGCTTGGCAGCAAGCACCTTTACCTGCTATCTTGCTGAGCTATCTTGCATGCCCCTATTAATTTTCTCAATAAACCATCACCAACAGTTAGGCATGAGCATAAATGAGAAACATGTATTTTGGGGACAGGCATCTCCTCATTTTTATCTTGTGTATCTAGTGTCCTGAAATATCTAACAAATTTTCAACAAATAAATGGATACATGCCAGCAATTTTCTTCATTCTTGATCCCTGATTCCTCCCCCTCTCCAAACCAAGCCTCTGGTCTCCTGACAATGCTCTAACCTAACCTCACTGGACAGGTGTGTTGAAAGCCTTAAGTCCTAGCAGTTGGGAAGCAGATGAGACAGATCTCTGGAAGTTTGGAGTCACAGGGCTATGCTGCGAGACCCTATGTAAAACACAAATAAAACTAATCTCACACTGTTTTATTTACCTAAGCAATAAAGATTTATTTACAGAAGAGAGAGAAAAGGTAACATTTGTCAAGCACCTACTATAGGAGTTACACACAGTCTTATGACAAGGTGAGCATTTCTTGCACAGTAAGAATTAATATGCTTTTTCAAAGATGAGAAAATTAAAGTTCAAGAATTTCCCGTATGGGTGGGGGGCGGTATGAAAGGTTTTCCTTTTTTATTTATGTGTGCATGGGTAAGGGTGACTGTGAAGGCCAGATGGTATTGGATTTACGAGCTGGAGTCACAGCAGTTTTGAGCCTCCCACTGTAGGTGCTGGGAACTGAACCTGGGCCCTCTGCAAAGAGCCACAGGTGCTCTTAACCACTCAGCCATCTCTACAGCCCTGTTTTTGGTTGTTTTTTCTTTGGGGGGGGTTGTTTTCAGATTTTAAGACAGAGCCTCTTGTAGTCAAGGACAGCCTTAAACTCCCGATCCACACACCTCTGATGCTAAGATTATAGGTGTGTGCCACCACTCCCAGCTTCAAATTTCATTTTTGTCTTTTCAGCCACTACACAGTAAGAGTGAGTTATGACAGAAGGTCCCTTGGATAATAGAAAATGTCAAAATAAGCATAGAAACCAGAAAGATAAAGGGAAAAAGAAAAACTAAGAAACTGCTTTGATGGAACACTGTGGCGGACTGATAGGATAAAGGCTATAAATAAACTAGGAAGTAAAAGAGACTGCAGATGGAGGCAGAGAGTGTAAAGAGGCTTAGACTAAAAGGAAACGAGAAGACTTCGATGTATATGGTATCATTTTGGAAGTATTAACCCTAAAAAAGGTCATGTGTGTCAGCCATCGTCAGCTTAGGTGATTGCACTAGTCAGATAATCCAATTTCCTCTTGTGCAATGTATTATCCACCTGTGTACGGCGCATGTGTGTGGGCCCAGGCATGCCACATCCTATGTGTGGCAGTCAGAAGACAATCTGTGATGGTACTTCTCTCTTTCTCCCTTCACATGGATTTGGGGAGTCAAACTGAGGCCTTCCAGCTGACACAGGAAGTGCTTTCCCTGCTGAGAGGGGCCCCAATCTCTCCTTTCAGTGAGCATTTGCTGAGTGCTTACCATGCGCTGACACTATGCTGGTCCTGCTAGTCTGTACAGATACAAAGTTTAACAAGACTACAGGCTGTTCATTCTACCCTGGAGAACAGAAGACTAAATGACCCGTTAAAACAGAGACAGAGATGAACTTGTGTTCATCTGTGCTGTAGAAGTCCACACAGAGCTGGCCTAAACCAAAGTGGGTCAGGTAGAGCAATGTGTGTGGTGAGTCATAACATGGTACTTTTCACTACTATCAAGAAGTGTGCTGAGGGGCTGGAGAGAGGACTCAGAGCACTGGCTGCCCTTCCAGAGGTTCTGAGTTCAAGTCCCAGAAACCACATGGTGGCTTGCAACCTGCTATAATGAGATCTGGTGCCCTCTTTTGGCATGCAGGTGTGCATGCAGACAGAACACTGTATATATAATAAATATACAAATCTTTTTTTAAAAAAAGAAAAAGCGTGCTGAAAAATGGCAGGTGTGAGTGACAGCCCCTTGAAGGGAGAACTACCCCTGCCAAAACACAGAACTCCCAGGTGCCCCTGCACAGGTCCGAAAACACAAAACTACTGATTGATGATGAACAACCCTACAGTTAGGAGGCAAAATGGGGATGCGGGGAAGGTAAATTTCCAGCAAGAGGGAAAACCTTGAAGGAATGTCAGTCAGAAAAGGGGTGAGACTAGTACTTTATTTGTGTAATGCTTTAGTTACCCTACATTCTTTCACATCCATTATAGTACTTCATTTTACTCTCCAAAAAAAAAAAAAAAAAAAAAAAAACAATTAAAAAAAAAAAGAACCTGTGAGAAGACTGTGGAACTGGCTCAGTGGTTAAGAATACTTGTTGCTCTTGCACTGGACCAGGGTTCAGTTGACAGCATCCATATAGTAGTTCACCAACATCAGTGACTCCAGTTCCAGGAGATCTGATGTTGTCTTTTGACCTCTGTGAGCACAAGGCATACAGATTCATACATACAGGCAAAACACCCACATACATAACATAAAATAAATAAATACATCTTTTAAAAAAAAAAAAAAAAAGCCTGGAGTACATAAGAAGTGCACAGCGTACTTACATTACTTTTCCTCCCATTTTACAAATGAGAGAACTATGAATGAGAAGGAAAAAAAATGGCTCATAAATTACACAGCTATTGAGTGTCCGGGGCTCAGACGCAACAGTTTTCAACACAAATCCCAGTGACTCCTCTTTGAACTCCCTAACATCCTACGACATCCTCAAGCCCTCCATCACTGGATTAGAAGGTTGTCAGGCCTTACAAGGGCAAAAATGCTGCACTGACTCTGGAAACGCTATAGGACAGGGGACCAGGTTGGTAGGAAAGAAATCCCTACATAACCAAGAACTGTATTTGGGGAATTGGGGGGTTGGGGAGCTAACACAAACACAGAATAAAAAGAAACGCAGGAGCTAATCGCTGGGAAACGGGATCTTAATGTTTGCCCACCGGCACTAAAAACAAAACAGAAAAATTAATTAAATAAAGGAAAAAGCAAACGGTGGATGATGACACTTGGCGAGAATGACAACAGTGTAAACGAACAGAGCCTCCAAAGAGTATGATTACCGACAAATGTCAGGGATCTCGGAAGATCGTGTGTGTGAGGGAGGGGGGTGGGGAGAGAGCGTGCCGCGTGCGTGTGCAGAAGAGCGCGCGTGGAGGATTACAAGCCAAAGGTCGCCGGGAGAGTAACAGACGGAGCAGGCATGAATGGATGCGGATGACGAGGAGCAGAGATCATGTCCCAAGGGGGAAGGGGAAGATCCGTGGAAAGACGCATCAACGCAGCAAGGAAATCAAACAAACTAAGAGTTCCAGCGGACAGAGAAGCGGAGAGAGACGCCGGCAGCCTGGGTGGTAGGCTAACCGGAGGACTGCCCGGAGGCAACGGCGCGGGCCAGAGCGTGCCGCCCAAGGACACAGGCGTCGTCCCGGCGGGCTCGGGCCGCAGACCCCGTTCAGTACCTGTAGCCGCGGTTGGAGGCCCGCGGCGGAATCCGGTAGACGCTGACGTCGGGCTTCACGCACAGCACAGACTCGTATTCCAGCTCGGTCGCCATCTTGGCTCCGCTAGCGCCGCGGGGGCGGGGCACAGGCGGGGGCGGGCTGAGACGCCAGACACCTTCCTGTGCGTCACTTCCGCTCGGGTCCGGCTTTGCGCTGAGCCTCTTGGCGGCGCAAGGTAGCCGAGTCCCGTTAAAACCCGCAAACGCTGATGCGCTTGGCGCTCCATCTTGAGTAACGGCAGAGACAGGCTCAGCGGCAGAGGACCTCGCTGCCAAGGCCTTGGGTTCTGTCCCCAGCGGAAAATTAAAAATAAAAATTCAGTTCTCTTTTACCTTCAAATGGTAGCCAAAAAAATAAAATAAAATCTACTGAACATACAGCAGAAGAGGTCAAACAAAATGAATCTCTGCTTTCTCGTTCTGTTCTCATAAATACTATTTATAAGCAAGTGTCCTGTGCATAATCTATTAAGTGCCACCTTTTTTTTTTTTTTTTTGCAATTCTATAGGTTTTGTTGGTGACTTATCCATATTAGAATGACCCCAGTTGCAGTGCTAAATGCTATCTAGCATTCCTCAGCCTAAAAAGATTTATGTGCCACACATCATGATGATGTGCCAAGCAGTTCTATCCACAAATATGTCTTCTGTGCACCCCAAAAGACACTATAACTTGGAAATATTTTAGCAGGCACAGACTGCAAGTGGCAAAACCAAGTCTGATCTTATTTTGTTCCGGGAAACAACAGTAACAGTCTATACCTTTGCATTATATTGACTGGTTGGCTTAGACTTCTGATTTGTCTTTTCCCAGAAGAGTCAATTCTTAAAATCAAGAATTAGATATGACTGGTAAGGTAAGGATGTAGAGATTGGCTACTCTCAAATACTGTCACCAGGAATATAAATTGACCCAATGCTGCTTTAAAGGGACGTTTAGCCAAACTAGTTTAAACATTAACTGTATGTAACTTTCAATTAACGATTGAACTACCTTTGTTTGTTGATGTTTATTTTGGAGACAGGGTTTCAATGTAATCCAGGCTGGTCCTCATCTCATTCTAATCAGCCTGCCACCAGACTGCTGAAATTACAGGCATGTGCCACCACACTAAATGCTTTTAAGAGTTTGGGATCAAATTCAAGGTTTCGTGAGAGCTAAGTGAGCATTCTATCAACTTAGCTACATCCCCAACCCAAAACTATTATTTTCTATCATATGCTTCTCCTCATGTTTTAAGATTTTGTAAAGAAAATACACCACACCCTCGACGAAGACATAAAAGAAGAAAGGACAGAAAAAATAATGGTCTATTACTTGTTTCCTATTTCTAAACCCATGATCTCAGTCGAAGCCTAGGTCATGTGACTATACAACATTGTATTCTTTCATTTCCTCTTTCTGTATCAACAGTGCTGACAATCACTTAGACCTCTGGCCCCTGGTTCGCCTTTTAAGTGTTTTGTATTCTTTCTTTCCAAATCTGCTCATTCTAGAGACTTCCAGTTTCGTAGGAACTGGATTAACTCTTCCTAATCTTGCATTCCTTCTTGCAACATGGAAAGTATGATATACTATAACTAACTGCCCCTTACTGCTAGAATATGTATTTGGTTTGTTGTTTTTAAATCAACAAACATAATGCAGCCTATTAGCAAAATAAAGAGGAAATACACACTGTTCTCCTCTACATAGCAGAAAGAGCACACCCTTTTTCATAGTCTTAATCATAGTGTCCTGTCTAGCTTAGATCACCATATTACCCTAATTTTACCTTTGGTTATTGGTGGTGGTTTGTTTGTTGCAGCGTCTCATTCTCTAGGCCAGGCTGGCCTTGAACTCGTGAAGTTTCCCCTATTTCAGCTTCCTGAGTGTTACTACAGGGGCACACAATCACACTCACCTCCATATGTGTTTCTGCTTCTGAACACACGTGTCCACAGCAGAGATCTTTCTCGTTTATTTCTTTGTAAAATGCCTAATTTAAATACCACTTTCCCTGGGGTGTATTCCTCAGTTTGTTTGTGGGTTTTACTTTTTAGTGTTTTAGTTTTATTTTGTTTTGTTTTTTTTTTGTTGTTTCTTAATGTATGAGTGCTTGTCCACTGGTACCCACAGAGATCAGAAGGCACTGGGTTTGCTGGAGTTATAGATGTCTATGAGCTACCATGTGGGTGCTGGGAACTGAGCTTACGTGGCATGGCTTGGCTTTTCCCTTCTTTCCTCCCTCCTCCTGCTCTGAGCATCAGCTGAGGTTCTATATCTTACCTGCTCTGACATTTTTCTTTTAAACTAATAAAATTGACCTTGTGCTCTCATTTGAGGCAATTCTTAAATTATTTTGTGAATGAGACACCCTAAAAGGGACACGGATTTCCTCTGTGTCACTAACATTCGATACGATTTCTAGTACATAGCAAGAGTTGTAGACATATTATCATTACAACCTGGTTGGCGTGTGTGTGTATGTGTGTGTGTGTGTGTGTGATGACAATCAAGATAATTTAAATATCTTAGCTGTGACATTAATCCCGACACTTGGGAGGCAAGGATCATCAGATCTCTGTAGGTTTAAGTCCAGCCTGGGCTATGCGGTGAACACCCGTCTCACGGAGGGGTAGGGATGAAGTGCCTTGACTAGAACTAACTTCTGTATACCGTTGGAGGATAGGAGCAACACAATTCACAGGCTCAGATTAGCTGCTAAAAATCAAAATAATTTTCTCTTATGTGTGACTCCCAAGTATATGTGATTTAGCCAAGTTGTATAAAATGATGTCACCACACCCTTCAAATTGTGATTACTTTTAAATACGATGTAAACATAAAAATGAGTCACATTTTTTTACTTTTCCCAATCTTCTGCACCCACACACACAAAAAGAGTTATTTTTTACAAGTTTATAAATTCTGACTTGATTTTGTCCAGAGCAACGTTATGGATGGTATTTATTAGGGTATAAAATTGTTAACTCTTGGGGCTGGAGAGATGGCTCAGCAATTAAGAGCACTGGCTGTTTTTCCACAGAACCTGAATTCAATTCCAAGCACCCACACGGCCACTCACAACTGTCTGTAATCTAGCTCCACGTGACTTGACAAGCTCACACAGACAAACGTGCAGGCAAAACACCAATGCACATGAAATAAAAATAAATCATTTAAAAACAGAAAAAAAAATCCCAACTCCTGATGCCACTGCACAGTGATAATAAAAGGTATAATGAGATTTGAATCATGGTTTGTATATATTTCTTAGCTCTAAGAACCCTGAGTGCCATTTGGCATAAATCTTGCTTTTTGCATATAAGAGACTTGCATCCTGGTCGCAATAATTCGTTTGTCTAAAAACATAGTTGGTGAAGCAGCCACAGTAGGAATTTCATGTCTCATAATTTTTGAAGTAAGACTTTTCACCACATCACACCTCACAGTCTGAGCGCACCCAGGATGCGAGTTACAAGCTAACATTGACAAGAGTTTCATTTAAAATAAGCCAAAAGTTATTTCTCAAGTATAAAAAGTAGAGGGTTTGCCTCGTAGGTGATTCTGGATCCTCTCAGGTTGGCAATTGCATTTAACCAACACCAACACAACACTCATAGACATAACTACATGTAAAAAAAAAAAAAAACTTAGAGAAGGACACGCAGCTAACCTTTATAACCTATTGGGAAATGCACTTGAAAGGGGAAAGCATATCTGCATCTGATTATTACGGTGTTACGGTACTAGATCTGTAAATCAAAAGAGTGACACAGGACCTGCAAGACAGAGGAATGCATACAAGCCCTTGCATGCAAGTGCAACGGCCTGAGTTCGAGCCTTCGAGCCCGCAGAAGAGAGCTGCATACAGTGACAAGCCAGCTCGCCCTGTGCCTCACAGCACAACAGGAACAAGGAGAGAGACCCTGCCTCGGGAAGGTGGAAGGAGAGAGTCCACTCCTGAAAGCAGTTCTCTGTTCACCACGCACAAGCCATCTCACACACACACACACACACACACACACACACACACACCCCACAGGTGCACTAAAATTAATTAAACAAACAAATAAAGCAGTAGGTAAATGTAGGAAACATGACAGAAGTCTTAGCATAGTTCCATGATATCTTAACTAAACGGTGGGAAATGTCAACCATTGACCTAAACGCAGCCATTCCTCTGCACACCAATAATGCGCTGTAGTTATTGTGTCAGGTAAAACTGGCCTAGCCTGCAATTCTCAGTTGTCAATCTCTAAATCTGAGGAGTAACAAATTCTAACTGACTTGTTTGCCATTCTCTACACCCAGAGCACCACTTGGGTCCTGACAAGTATTCAGCCAGTGACTCATAATGACCTTGTAACCCTGCACTACAGGACTCAAGAGCAAAACCATCTTATCCCTTGCAGAGAAAGCATTATCAGGTCTTTAAAAAGCAAAGACTCTGTCTCAGTTGGGGCCATTGGTTTAAAGTCCCAAATGAGAACCCTTAATTAGGATTATGTTTCCTGGTGATTTCACAAAAATGTCCTCTTGATCTGCTGCCGCAACAGCAGAGGATGATGATTCAGACCCAAGAGGTTTGCAGCAGTGATTCACCCTTTAGGAATTCGTGTAAGACGTGAGGCATGTCGCAAGCACAAGCTGTAATGAGAAGAATAAGGCACTAAAACTAGCATTTGCTCTTTACGCTAACTACAACCATGTCTTACCACATCATGAAACTGGTGGAGTCGGCATAGATGCTACACAGTGAGTGAATAAGAAAGTATTCCTTTCCAGAGTAATGTTTACTCAGTGAACAATTTTGTTTGTTTCCTGAGACAGGGTTTCTGTGTATCCTTAGCTATCCTGGGCTCGGTTTGTAGACCAGGCTGGCCTCCACTCACACAGATCCACATGCCTCTGCCTCCCTGAGTGCTGGGATTACAGGCATGTGCCACCGTGACGGATGTGTCTCATAGCCTTGATGGTCAGGAAAGTTCTTTTAGATTTTTTTAGTACATCTCATAAGTGCTAGTAACTCCAGTTCCAAGGAATCAGATGCCCTCTTCGGGCCTCTTCTGGCACCCAGTACACACATAGTACA